TATCTATCTATCTATCTATCTATCTATCTATCTATCTATCTATCTATACATACATACATAAATACATGGGACAAGAACTTTGTTTGGCATCACCATCAGTGTGACATTTGGCTCCTCATACTAGAGGTGAAAATCATTATCAACAAATGACTATCGCAGTTCAGATGTGAGATTATGGCGGCTATGTTAGGGAACAGGGCGGATGCATCAGGATGCTCTTAAGAGTCAGTACCTGCTCTGCAGGCTTATGATGACTGAAGGAATAAAAAATGAACAGTTATCAACTTTTGAAACTAAATGGTTATTTTGAGAAAAGTAATAAATTTTCTATGGCTTTATGCATGGATAGGTTTTAAATAATAAGGCCTAACAATAATTGTGACCAGCTCCTTTGATTTTTATGTAGGCATTACAGATATGTATCTCATTAATTAAAGTTTTATAATTTCTCATCGTGATGACATATTGAAAAATAATATTTAAAACATATTTGAAACTTAAGACAAAAATAACTTTTCCATTTAGTGACTATGAGTAAGAAGTTTTAATATTTTTAGGAAATCTTTAATGCTTTCAGTTTTTGCTTTCTATTGCAAGAACAGAAATCTTTAATAAGAAATGATTATCTAAATTATCACAATTTTCACTGTCAAGAACAATGATGTACTTCTGAGAATACTGGTAGCACTTCATTAGTATAGGATGAAATGAAAGTAATTAAATGAGATGGAGTTAAGTTAGAACAAAAGTTCAGTTAAACAGTATTTCTCAATAGGTTTATACTTTGTATAATAAATTTTCTATGGGCAGACCACTTAAATATGGGAAGGAATATCCGCTACTAATAAAGTCTCACCATATAACAGCAATGGTAGATATGACAAAGACATATTTCTCCAGACGCAACAAAAACTGAATGTAAAAGAAATTGTGTATTGGAAGTCTGCTTTAGGGAAAGGTATATTTGAAGAAAGCTTCATTGAGTAATCAGACAGCATGAAGACAGAATAGGAATTATACAAAGATTAGGGTGAGGGGATTTAGGATATAAAAACAAATTTATGCAGAAAGAAATGATCAAAGTATTTATGGAAGTGCCAATAAAATGGTGTTTTAATTTAATAATTACAATAAATTTAAATATGATCCTAAAGAAAGATAAGGAGATAAGAGAGGGTCCTCTATGCTAGAGGATGGCACACTCTTAGCAGAAAATTGTCCTTAGACAGGGAACTTCTATTCATTTGTTCTAATTCCCAAGTCTCAGAAGAGTATGGGATACACAGGTGAGCTACAGTGCTTACTTTAATTTAATGGGATATCCTATGTACGTAAATGTATCTTGAATTTCTGATTTTCCTGCTTTTACCTTCAACATGCTGAGGTTGTAGGTCAAGGTCACCCAGGTGGTTACTTTTATCAATTCAATAATAAACTAACAGCTTGCAAGTGTTTTACAGTTAATTCTACAAGTGTGTCTTAAAAAGATCAGTTGACAGTAAAGTTGGTAATGAAGAACAAATTAGAAGTTTATAAATATCCCTTGTAGGATGTGATAAGACCTTAGTCTTAACATTAACATTATTGCTGTGGGTGTGTTTATGATGTGTTAAAGGAATACAAAAATGGTATTGGGTGACTTCTTAGAACAGGAGGCTTAGTGTTATAGAAAAATGTAGAGTAATAGAAATGTTCTTACTGAAGTAAATAAATTATTGGTGGTATCAGCAACTGAGTCAGTATTGCAAGAAGGAACTCCCAAAGAGTGAGGAGTCATTCCTTAGTCATATATTGAATTAGTATTATTTATCTTAACCAAAGGTTTTACTTGTTCACCCTGATTAGAGATGAGAAATTGATACTTACTGTGTCAGCTTCTAAAACTTCTCTACTTTTATTCCAGTCTTTCAATAGTCAATGGGCCACATGGCTACTTGAGCCCAGTTGTAATTTGCGACTTAACAGCTTAATGTGTATCTGATACATCTAGCCTTAAAAATCAGCTAGGTTTTCTGAATATTTGTAGATATTTCAAGAGGTCAAGCAATGTGGATTCTGTGCTCACTTTGGCAGCGCATATACTGAAACTGAGTGATACGGAGAAGGTTAGCATGGCCCCTGCTCAAGGATTCCATGCAAATTCGTGAAGCTTTCCATATTTTTTTTTGCAGATTATCATCTCATATACTTAATATGTAAGTTTTATTTGCAGGTATTTTGTTAGGCTCATTGCATGTATGCATGAGGCATGCTCTCTAGATTTCAAGCCTGTAACCCAACAGCAGGGGATATCAGTGCTGCCTTCATTCACTGTTAAGATGTTAGTGAAAGATCAATTTTTTTCCCCCAATTTTTTGGGGGTGGTGGTTTTGAGGCAGAGTGTCTCTGTATAGCCTTGGCTGTCCTGGATTCATTTTGTAGACTAAGCTTGCTTCAAACTCACAGAGATCCACTTGTATCTACCTCCCTGAATGGTGGGATTACAGGCATGTGGCACCGTGCAGGCCTTTCCCCCCAGATTTTAATAGGATTGACTAGAAAAATCATTTATGACTGATCCTTACATTGCTGTTTTCACTTTTATTCAATAATCCTTTATTTTCTTTAATCACTAAAAAAATGAAATGTGGATTCTAAATTTTTGTAAAAGCAAAAATACACAATTCTCAAATATATGGAAGAAATAATTCAATTTGTACTGATTTCTGATTTGAACATTTAGTTCTGCATTCAGGAGGTGATTTGAGAATTTTTGCTTTTAGAAATGAGGCCTTTAAGAGAATCTGTCTGTTAGAGCTATTTGCTGTGAACAACTTTGTGTTTTCAGTAAAGATACAAACGTATAAACAACTTTTAAAATTTCCTGTTAAAATGTTTGAAACCCTTGTAAAAATTAAAGAAGAGAAAGAATAAACACACAACATATTTAATGAAAGGATAAGAAGACTAAGCCTGGTTTAACAGAAATAGAGGGTAAATAGCTTGAACAGACCAGAGTAACTGCAGATAACATGAGTACTCAGAAATGGTGAGCAGAGAACCCTGAAAGAGAAGCCACCTGCACTGGGCTCAAAGCTATTCTCTTTATTTCATAAAGATTTGCTTAAGTATTTTTAGTTTTCTGTTTTTTTGGGGGGGGGATCAGCATAATATCACATTAAAAACATTAGTCACATTTTATAGAAGCATTTGTGGATAAAACATAGAGAAATTATTCTAATTCATGTAGACATTTATAGCTAAAAACCAGAAAGTGCTCAGTTACTAAAGAATCACATTCTAGAGCTACAGAGCTTAAATTTGCATTATAATTTTCAATAAGCATGGGTTTTTTGCATAGGAATATACTTTCAATCAGTAGCATTTTATTTTATTTTCACATATTTGCTTGAGAAATAGCACAATAAACCAAGACCTTAAGATGCCTGTGAATAACAACCCAAGTTCCTATGCTATAGTAGGATAGTAATGATCACATCCATGACAACAAAGCAAAGAACTGTAGATGCACTGAGCTGGCCCCGCTGCATTTAGAGAAAGCACTTCCAAGAAAGCACTTCCACTTGAACCAAACAATGGAAAAAAGAGACATGATTTGCATTTCTACCTTACAAATCTGCAGGCATGCTTTTTTCTCTTCTTTCTTTCTTTCTTTCTTTCTTTCTTTCTTTCTTTCTTTCTTTCTTTCTTTCTTTCTTTCTTTCTTTCTTCCTAAAATGTTTCACGTTGCCGGTTAAAAGGTTGAAAGACCTCTCATCTTAAAGTTTATCTCTCTACAACTTTTTTTCTGTTTTGGTTTTCTATAACAGTCAGGCCTTAGTTAGCATCTCAAGCCTTGTTTAAATATCTGATTCATTCTAAGAATAATCTCTTTTAGAAGAATGCTCTGGGTTCACTGGGTTATTGTTTTAGGACTTCAGGGAGAACACAGAACTTCTCACACACATCTATCAACTCATTTGAAGGATCAGTTTCCTTTTGTAAACTAAAACTCACCTCATTAGCATCTTCCTTTCTTCACCATCTGCTTCTGACACCTCATCTGGGGTAGCCTCATGCCACAGTCATGTTTGAGTGTGTTCATTAAAGTGAAATGAGGTTGCTGTGTGTCCAATAATAATGTTTCTGTGAGTCTGTTTATAGAATCTGCTTGGTTGATATTTATGTATTAAGAAGTAAAAACTTTCATGTGTTCTTCTCAGAAGCCTTCTCCCTCAATAAATAAATAAAATATAAGCTCAGCCAAGATAGTAAATGAAATGTTTGCAGTATTTTTGGGTGACCTGACTCTGTATTCAAATCTCTCTTCACGCCCTTAACTTCTAAATGGATCATTAGACCCTAAATTCTATCTTGATGGGAAAATAAAGAATAAAATAAAGGCCTCAAGGCACAGGAGAACTAGTATGCTTAAAACATGATATAAAACCCTCAGCATTTGGGTCATTTTGTTCTTCTACCCAGGAAAAAAAAAATCACGATAGGTAGCGAGCCCCTCTTCAGGTGCTGGTTTATGGCAGTTTTTGTATCCCTGGTGATAGCTATTGGTGAGTGATAGCAACAGGCAGACAGAAGCAGCAACAAGTGGCAGCCAGTAGCGTCCCAGTTCTCATGCAGGCCTGGAGTACCGGGACCCTACAAGTGTAACAGATCTTGTGTAGGTCAAAGACGTCAACATTTCTTAGAGCTTCCAGCAGCTGGGTTTTCGGCTTCTAAGTGAGCTTAGGTATGGTGATTCCTCAGCTTATGCCAGGGCCCAATTTACACTCCTGAGCCTGTGTTATGAGACACCTGGCCCTAACACGTTGGCAGCTTCCTGGAAGTCTTCCAATAACCAAGGCCGCTTCTCTTCTATGACTCTTACAGCCGTGCCTCCTTTTTATTCTCAGCTCTCTGGCCTCTACTTCCTCTGTCTCCTTGCTCCTGTCTTGGCGGCTTTCTTGAAGTTCGGTTGCTCATCTTCATCTGTCAGTCATCCAGACACCTTGCCACTTTGGCAGCTCAGCCTACTCACTGCTCAGCTGTCACCTACACACTCACTATCACTCTGCTGTCTCTGCTGATTCTTTGAGTTAGCAGCTCATTTCACACTGCTAAAAGCAGGCAAGAAAAGACCACCTTACAGACGCCCCCTTTCTCCCTAATTTTGAAAAAAAAAAAAAAAAGGAAAAGTAGGTTTCTTAGGAGTCTCATAACTGCTCACCAAGTCAGCCAAATAGCATGCTTATCTAGCCAGTGAAAGGGTGTTTGGACCAATCACAACAAACAAACCTGCAATGCAAATGGCTTCTGATTCCTCTGAGCAGTCACTCTGCTAGTCCCACTGGGGCATAGGTAAATGTGGCTTTAGGGTTCTCTGGAATCTAGTGAAGTTTGTGATATGAAAATGCCCAGGACAAACTCTTTTAAATAGCACTGGCTGGAGCAGAGTCTCCAGCAGTTGAAGCTGTAATCATTGGGTAGCTCTCTCAAGCTGTAGCAGAGTGTTGGAAATGGTCAGTGCTGGAGGAAGGACATCTGACTGACAACCCTTGGTTGTCATCAGCAGAGCAATAAAAAACAGTTGAAAGCTGCCAAGTAGAGAGTCAAATAGTAATATCCCTCAACACATTTTCTTATTTACGGGATATTAACACCAGAAAAAGTGCTTAAAAATAAATGTAAGAAATTTTCATTAAAACTTATAGTGATTTGAAATAAAATTAACAATTTTTTAACACTCACAGTGCCCTAGGGATAGATGCGTCTGTGCCACCTGCTTCAGTGTTAATGTCCCACAGTGTCTCAGAAGTAAAGGGAAGGATTATTTATGATGGAATGAAATGGTCTTTAGGACCTGGTGTCTGTGAATTCTACCTCCCATTCACATTTTAGAACACACCATAATGACGCCTCAGCATGAGCACCTTCCATAATTTGTACAAATATAGAATGTTCAGAATAACTACCACTGGATCATTTATAATATCCATATAATGCTCCAGACAGATTTAACAGAGCCCACTGACTCAGTCTTTCTATGTCAGGTTATAACTTATCCTAAAGCGTAAATGCTTAAGAGACCAAAAGCTTAAAAGTTTAAAAACCCAATTTTGATATATTTTCTATTTGGGCACTGAATATTTTATGAAAGGCTGTTTGTTTCCATTCATTTTCTAGCTTGACTCACTACAGCCAGATGAGGCCATCATCTACCCCCTGGGTGCATTCTCCCCCCCCTCCCCCTCCTATTTCTCGGAATTGTTTGTGAGCTTTTCTTTAAAATATTCTGAATAAGTAGATTAATAAACAAGTGGAATACAGGAAGGATATGTGCAACTCTGTGGGAATCATTTGCTGCAACAAAACTCATTGTTAAAAACAACTTTTTTTTTTTTTTTTTTTTGTCTTTTGTACTCAGTTGATGAAGTGTTTGTTTCCTAAGCATGAGAAGTTCCATTAAACCTGCAGGATCCACGCAGAGTTGAAGATTGTGGGTGTCCATGTTTGTAATTTCAGCACTAGGAGGCAGAAGTGAACCTCTGGGGTTCACTGTGCACTGTGCCAACCCTGAGCGAGCTCCAGCTAACGAGGGGACTTGTCTTCAATAGCAAAATAGATGGTTTTGTAGGGTGACTCTTGAGGTCATCTCCTGGCTTTACCTAGCATGTGCACGCATATGCAGTGCACTGCTTGAATGAGAATGGCACTCCCTGGCTCAAATCTTCAAATGCTTGGTCCCCAGTGAGTTGAACTATGTGGGAAAGATTAGGAGGTGTGGTTTTGTTGATGAAAGTATATCGCTGGGAGTGTGTTATGAGGTTTAAAATATTCCTGCTATCCCCAGTGTTTCTCTTTCTCTCTGCCTCCAATTTGTGCAGCAAGATCTGAGCTCTCAGCAGTTCCTGTTGCTATACCTTTGTCCTGCCACTGTGGACTCTAACCCTTTGAAAACTTAGTTAAGTCCCAAATGAAACACTTTGTTGTAAAAGTTGCCTTGTCACGGGGGGGGGGGGAGTATTATTTTTGTATTTTTTTAATTTTAATTTTTATTAATTACAATTTCTTCACTTTGTTCCATCCTGTAATTTCTTCGCTCCTTCTGTCCCAATCCCATCCTCCTTCCTGTTTCTCCACTGATGTCCCTCCTCCTCTTGTCCAATGATAGGGGAGGTCTTTCTCCC